ATGTGTGTGTGTGTGTTTGTGTGTGTGTGTGTAATGAAAATAAATAACATTTAATGAATCTTAATTTTTATTGTCAGACCATTTTTGTGGCCCTGAATAAAAAAATGTATCAGAGAAGTTGTTAAATTTTGGCCTTTTTATTGTAAAGGTTGCAGACGAACACGCTACAGAGCAGGAGAACACCAGGAACAGGATGAAACACGTCTTAAAGGTCAGTTTGAGATCGACAGCATGCAGCACTGTGCACAGATTGGATTGTATCTTATACGTGAAAATTACTTTTACAAAGTACATTTTTCCAATTTTCTTCACATCCACACAAAAAGAAAGAAAGTAAGTAATTTTGTTTACGCCTAATCTGCAAACAATAAAAAAAAAATAAAAACCAGAAAAATGACAGCGTGACAGTGAACCATCATCAACATCATTAGGAGCTGAAGCAGCGTTCTAATTTAATTTACCACGTGATTTCACATGATGAGATGTCTTCAGAGATAAAGAGCGATGAGGAACTCGGGGAAACTTCCATCATGCTCAGGAGATTAACGACTGACAGCCGCTCATCCTGCAGATGGGCTCCTTGTTTACTCTTTTTTTCCCAAGGACTTTGTATAAATGTCTATGGGATGGTTTATCTTTCTACATAGGAAATGCAGCCATAATTGCTAATTACATACGATTTTATCAGTAATCCATTGTTGATGAAGTATATTCAACTGTCCTTGAAGCAAGAGAATTAAGACAATGTTCCTGTTTTTAAAGAAAAGTAGAATTCAGCCATAAGAGCATGAAGTTATATAAAGTGTTTGTATGATGGAGCAGTCACTGCTTTTTGTTTTACAGAAAAACTCTCACTTCACTGACCAGGACTCAATTTAAACCTCTGCATAAAGTGAGTTTCTCATCGATCGGGCCTTTGATGGGCTGCATTCTTGACTTAATTCGCCAGCTATCTGTGTCACTGTGGATTTCAGCGGCAGCCTACCGGCGACCTGATTACCATATTCATTGCGTGCCTTTAATTAATCTGACAAATGCAGAGGTAAAAGCTGTGCTCCTTCAGCTTCATCGACGCAGCTGAAGCTCGCCTGAAAACAGGGAGATAAAGGAAGTGCAGCTTGGCTCCTGGCTTTATCTTCTCCATGTTCTAATCAGCAGCAATATTAATCATTGACATTAATTAGAGCCATTAATCACACTTCAGAATGGATGTGTCTGTGTTTGGAGGGCGGAACGGGAATGGCATTGGAGCGTTTCGACAGGAGACACACCTCCCAAATGCTCAAATATGTGTGAGTAGAGCGAGCTATTTTTTTATGGATTACTGAAAACATTCAGTGAAAAAAAAAAAAGTGAAAACAAATGTGACTTGTAAAGCAAAAGTTTTGCCCCTGTTCTGGTCAGGTGAAGCTCGCTTTCATTTATTATATGTTGAATGAAATAATGAAAAATTAACGACTGCTACAAAAGAAAAACATCTGTTAGGGATGCTTTCTCTGAGTGAAATTTCGAAGGTAACGACAAATGTTTGAACAGCTTTCCTCATTAAACTGAGGGTCACATGTTTACTGGAGTGTAACTCACATCGTTCAGGATGGAGAACGCTTCGGTCAGAGCTTCACCCAGAAGTCCAATCCCTTTGGCAAACAGCTTGTCCAGATGTTCACGGAAATGCTGTCAGACAACCACAAAAAGTACAGAAGAACGTTGAACATTAACCAAACAAATTTAATGTGATGCGCAGCAATTTAATCAGACTGATCAGGGACTCACATCTTTGTTAGTTCTGTCGGCCCGGACCAGAGTACCATTCAAACAAGGCTCCACATAGTGGATCTCCTGATTGTACTGGGGGGGGGGAGTTGCATGAACACGACAGAAAAATGGATTCAACTGTTAGGTTTTGTGACCTGTTACATGAAATCTACATTCTTATAACCAAGAAGTGGTCACTAAGGTACAGACAGAAAGTAAACGCACTGCGATGATGTTGAAGAAGTCATCGTCTCCCAGTGTGTCCAGTATGGAGGAAACGGTTTGCCTGGCGATAGTCAGCCTCAGCCCCTTCATGCTCCCGCTAACATCGACTAAAATCACCACGTCTTTGGGGGACGTTGCTGCCTGGATGTACCTGTAAATGACACACAACGTATAAGGGAAGAATTTATGTGTTTTTATGAGTGCAGGTACAAATTTAGAGACACGAGGACATAATGGAGAAGTTGTTTATTCGAGCACTCGGTCTGAAGAAGACACAACACACATCAACACGCCGTGTCGTCTTTTTGAACAGCCTGTCTAAATGACTGAACCTGCTTCTAAACACGTGTTTACCGCTGCTAGATTAGACTTTCTGCCTTCGGTGGTCAAAGCATTCGGAGAAAATAACTCCTCAGTCTCATAAGACTAAACTTTACCCTGAGATTTAAAACGTAAAATAAATACTAATCATTTCTCATGTAAACATATGAGGGGCAACATTTTCAACCCACCACTTCCGATTCCTGCAGTCAAAGCCGATGACGCCATGCTCATCTGGATGCCACTTTACTCCTGGGAGTGACGTCAGGAAACATATTGGAAAAAAAAAAAAAGAAAAAGAAATGAAGAAACAAAAGAGGAACAATGAAAGAAAAAAGTACATTGACAAGGAACTGTCATGTCAAAGAACAGTCTCCACAAACTTTAAGTAATTAAAACCTGCCACATGTTTATTGGAAATAATTTACAACTAAATGCTTGGGGAGTGGTGGTGCAGAGGTTAGGGAAAGTGGGCCTGTGATCGGAAGGTCGCCGGTTCAACTCCCCGTACATAAAAAATGTGGGTGGGATAGGTGAAGCATCCACACCTGCCTCCACCCTCATTTGCCCCACTCTAGGCCCTTAACCCCCACCATCTGCTCCCTTGGACACCCTAGATGGCAGCTCTGCTCCACACAGAGGGTGTGGTTGTGTTAAGAAGGGCATCCGGTGTAAAAATAATTGCCAAGTCTTTGTGTGAGTTAGTTCTCTGTGGACCTCGGACAAAAGGAGCAGCCGAAAGAAAAAAAATTACGACAAAATACATCGTAGCTAAACCTTTGTACAGAAAATAGCAGAAGACAAAGTGTAAAATTAATCCTCCTCCCACACAGTTCTGACTGTTTGTTGGGGGTGGGGGTTTTAAAACTTCATCTTTGCTTATAATAATAATAAACATGACATCACCGATCCACACATTTTCTCTGGGTCATAAACCCTGTGACTGTGGATGACCTCCAGTCAGTCCGACAGTCAGTAAATATAGATTAATCCATGAATCAGGTGCAACGTTTTAAATATTTATTAAAAATCTACAGTTCGGGACATTTAAAAAGCTCAGTCATGTTCAGAAAACTAAACATTCACACACTTGATGTGGGACACACACAGAGATGTTGATGTATTTTTGTCTTTATCTAGCTTTCTGAAGATGTTTTTGCTTGAAAACTGAAACTGAGAAAAATGGGAGTGGTGGCGCAGAGGTTAGAGAAGGTGGGCCTGTGATCGGAAGGTCGCTGGTTCGACTCCCCAGACCGACAACATCAAAATGTGGGTGAGAAAGGTGAAGTACCCATCTGCCTCCACCCTCATCTGTCCCACTCTGGGCTCTTGAGCAAGGCGCTTAACCCACACCATCTGCTCCCCCGGGTGGCCCAGTAAGCAGCTCTCTGCTCCACACAGAGGGCTGTGGTAGCTCAGTGGTCTGTGGTTGTGTCAGGAAGGGCATCCGAGGTTAAAACAATTGCCAAGTCTTCATGTGAGTTAGTTCACTGTGGCGACTCCTGAAGAAAGGAGCAGCCGAAAGAAGAAGAACAAAAAACCTGAAACTGAGAAAAATGTTTCCCTTTAAAAACCTTTTCTTTCCTACACCCCCACACACAAAGAAAATGGACATCTTTAAGTGTTTTGCAATTTAAGAGTTACTAAACACACAAAACCACCTTTGATCAGACAGTTTTTTAAAATATAATATAAGAATAACTTTTTTTTTTCTCAGCACCAAAGTGAACCGTCTTTAGTTTTCTGTTTCTGTGTGAGAAAATGGTTCAGCTCTTCACTGTGGCTGCAGACCAACACGGGCAAATGCTGATTAATTGCAGTCTGTGTATGTGCTTTCTCTCTGATGGGCTGTAAAATTGCAACATTAACCAAAATTACCCTTTTAGAAATTCTAAATCATTTGTTCTGATCAGTTTTTGAAGCTGACTGCTTCAGTGGCACAAGCCTTTTTATTTCTCAGTTTCTAACCCCACGTGAGCACAGCGAGCTTTCCAAGAGCATGACACGAACCTCCTGTTTGATGGACCCTAAGGCGGTAACTAATCCTAAACATAACTTTATCTCTCCTCACAGCTTAGCCCAAAATGTAATGAGAAAACCTGAAATAATGGTTAGCCAAATGGAAGGGCATAAAAGTCTGAATTTTCTTGGTGGTACTGAGCCTCCTTTTAGTTTTTATTCACTCTTTGTCTCCCGTATTTGGATGCTTGCTTTAGTTTCTGGTTTAGTGTTTCAAAACAGCTGAGGATTTTCCACATCATCATGATGACAATAACTGTATGTTAGAAACCTCAAGTTTGGATTGACTAAAAAGAGAGAATTAATAATTTGTGCACACATTTTCAACTAACACCAATTTCTTTGTGTTTTCTTTCCAAGCAGCTGGACTTGTAATATTTCAAAGTGGCCATGATCAGTTCTTCAGGCTTTCTGTTTTTTTTTCATTTATGGTTTTGGACTTTGAGAGGCTTCAGGTAGCTTGGTGGTCAGTGTGGTGGTCTTGTAATCCTGAGGTTGAAGGTTTGAGCCCCGTTTGTGTCAGGAAGGGCATACGGTGTAAAAAAATTGCCAAATCTTTCATGCGAGTTTCCTCGCTGTGGCAACCCCTGAAGAGGGTAAAAACTGAAAGAAACATACTTTTATTTTATTTTTTTAAGAGGAGATGAACTGACTGGAAAATGTTGGATTGTATGTTGGATTGTTTCCACAAGAACAATTTAAAGAATAAGCCCAGAAATAATTTCCTTGGTAGGGAAAAACAATAAAAAATAAATATAAAAAATGTGCTGGTGTAGATTCTCATCATCCAGGACATGGCAAATCTAAAAAAGTTAAATAAAACAAAACACCTGGATTTCTATTCTGTAGTTGAAGTTGTTAGAAAGATGGGAAGTGAACACATCTTTCACTGCAGAACAAAAAGTCCAGTAGTTTTATTTTTGTACTTTTCTGGAGCAGCTGAGTGACAGCACTCACCAGGATACTGCCTGAAAAAACCTTTGGCGCTTCCAAAGTACTGCCAGATGAGTGTTGGATCTCTTTCGAAGTTCTCCACAAACACTTTGTTCAGGGCCTCGGACCAGTACACCCCGTTCACGATGTCTGGATCTGGCGATGAGGACACAGAGAGACGGGCATTAAATGGTGATATGGTCACTATTACTGCATGATTGACCTTTGTCCCTTACTGAGTGCCTCTAAAGGAGACACAAAGGCTGTGCCCACGCCCCGTCCCTGCCCCTCCTGCTCCTTTTGTGTTGTGAGCAGAGTTATGGGGAGTCCATTAGAGTCAAACAAAAGCCGCCCGAGCGATGTGACAACAAGAAGCTACACAGCAGCTACCATATGAACAACATCTTTACAGAGAGGCCTGCCTTTACATCTGAGCTGTTATCGATCTCCCAACTTCCCTTCCCACAGTCCGTGACAGCTCCAGCTCCCATTTTTCACCTTCACCACTTACTTTACCCCCACCCCCTCACCTTTCCTCCCTGTTTATTCACCTCCAGCAAGTCAATAACTCACGTTGTTGTGTCTCTGGGCCAGCTGCAGGAGGTCTCACCTTTGTTGTACATGTTGGTGGGCACCTGCACCACACTGAGGCTCAGATTGACCGAGAGGTTACTGAAATGGTCGTTGGGCTCCAGGATGAACTCGCCTCCCAGCTCCACGTTATTGCCTTCCTCGTCCACTTCATTGATCAGCACAGCGTTGAAGTATTCATACTGGAAAAAGTTGTGATTTGACATGTTGATATCTATTTTCTATTTCTAGAAAAACTGGTTCATGCATTTGTCACGTTTAGACTGGACTATTGCAGCTGTCCTATTAGAGCTGTCCCCCTCTTACAATGCTGTGATTGCTAGTATCACTCAGCCCTCTGTGAGTAGTAAACAGCCATCAGTGTGCTAATGACCCATTGTTAGGCTGATGGTCCTTCTTGAGCATGTGAGCAGCTGGTTTTGGTTGTCAGCAGCAAACTGGTTGATCCACTCTAAGAAGGTGCTATTTAAGAGACTGAGCTGAAAACAACACCTCAGACTGAGTAAGTCTCTTGGATGAGAGACGAAACGTTTCTAGATTTTTTTGCTTTGTTTTGTTTTTGTTTTTTTTGAATGTCCAGAGGACCAGATTGAACTTTTTTGGATTTTTCTACCTGGATTATTGAGCATGCATCAGGATACTATTGCAATGGTTTATTATCTGGCTGCCCAAATACTTCTTCAAAAAGTCTTCAGTTGATCCAAAATGCTGCTGCCAGAGTCTTAACTGGAGTTAGGAGAGATCATATCTCTCCAGTTTTAGCTTCTCTCTACTGGCTCCCTGTCAAATTCAGAATATAATTCAAAATCTTACTTCTAACCTACAAAGCTCTCAACAACCTAGATCCATCTTATATTTGAGATCTTATTGTTCCATATTTTCCTAACAGAGCACTTTGCTCTCAGACTGCAGGTTTACTTGTGGTCCCTAGAGTTTCCAAAAGCAGAATGGGAGGAAGATCTTTCAGTTAACGGGCTCCTCTCTTGTGGAACCAAACTTCCAGTTTCTGTCTGTGAGGCTGACACATTGTCCAGTTTTAAGACTGGGCTTAAAATGTTCCTTTTTGTTAAATCCTATAGTTAGAGTTGGCTTGTTATGCTGCCTAAAGCTTAGACTACTAGAGGAAAAACTGATCTCATTTCCTTAAATGAATTGTTAAAATTGAATAGTTTTCATTTGATATTATTTCTATCTTAACATGTGATTCTTGACCTGCCATTGTGTATCTGTTCCTCCTTCCTGTTCCTCTCAAACCCAGCCAGTCGAAGCAGATGGCCGCTTGTCCTGAGCCATTTTCTGCTAATGGTTTCTTCCTCATGAAAGAGTTTTTCCTTTCCATTGTCGCCTTCATACTTGCTCAAGATAAGAGTCTGCGATGAAGTTAAATTCAAACCAGTCTGCTCCTCTGATAAATAATGTTAAATTATTATTTTATATATAAATGTTCCTGTTAACTTATTTTTTACATATGAATGTTTCTGTTCAGTGCCCTGAGATGACTTCTGTTGTGACTTGGCGCTATGTAAATAAACTGAATTGAACTGAATTTTTACATAAAAGTATTTTATTTTTAAGGCTAACTTGTGTATGTGACTTTTACTCAATTCATGTTTATTTTATTTTGGAGGCAGAATTTTGCATATGCAAAACGATTCTTTAAATAAATCTGTGAAATCTATGCCACGAAAATTTTCTGAATAT